CCACAAAGTTTTTCCTTATATCTAATAATATATAAAAGAAGAAAAACAATGAAAACTTTTAGTCAACCTGTCGCTAACACAACGAATTGCAGGTAAAACGCAAGAATGCAATTTACCAATTTTCAAGACTATTACGTGTCATAGTCGTGGCGATATAAGGAAGAAATTCTTAAGCATGCATGTCAAGCGTGGTACATGGCATTTGTGTTGATTTCACATTCGCTACGACTAATGAAAAAAGAAGAAGAAGAAAACAAAAAAAAGAAGCACGTATCGATTTCTTTTTTAAATTGTTCAACATCTTTAATTCTCTTAAATATATTTGCTTTCGATTAAAAAAAAGGCAAAAAAGGCAAAAAAAAAAAAAAAAGCTTTGTTGGACCAATGCAATAGAAAGATTTAAAAAAGGCCTGAGAAAATCATTGCAAGTTTCGTTATTTATTTTTTTTTTTTTGTTTTCTTTCTTTCTTTCCTTCTTTCTTTCTTTTTTGTATCTTAATCATCCAAAGGGAAGAGTTTAGAGAATTGTGCACATTTTGCCATCGCACATTGCGATATTAGCAGCATAGCTTAACAATTTGATAATTATAGTGACGAGACAATTGCTGTGCAGCAAACCGGCATTTTCTACAACAATTTGCTGCTGATATTGTAATACGTTATCTCTTCGCGTTGCTCTTTCTTGTTTTTGTTGCTAATGCTGTTTTGAAATTTCGGTAAATAGCAGTACGAAAGAGTCCGTCAGATCGAACAGTTGTTTTCACAATGCAATATAGCTTAAGATAAAAAGCATTTTTGTTTCAACTTGTCTTTTTTTTTTGTTTTTTTTTGTTTTTTGGCTTTAGTTTCGTTATACCTTACGCTTGTTAAAGTCATCGGTATGGTGCTTGCGGCATAGAAAAAAATCTCAGCGACAGGTTGGAAATTGTAATTGCAATTGAAATTGCATTTTTCAGGTGCACAACGGAAATTTTTGCCTTTTGCCTTTTGCCTTTTTCAGTTTACGTATTTGCGTTGTTGTACGATTCGCTTGTGTCTTAATGTTTTCAAGTTGAAATTATTATCTTTGCATTACGTCCGAGGGTGTTCTCTGTCGTTCTCTCTCACCCACTCTTTCTCTTTTCCTCTTAGGCGTGCTTTTCATCAATTTCCTACTTTTCTTTTTATATCGAATTTGATTTGTTATTATATATAATGATTTGTGTGATTTGATAGGGAAATTACAGTTATTGCGATGCTCATATTTTTTTTTTTTTTTTTTGCGATGTGGGAAATAATTTAAAAAATTTTTTAAAAAAATTTTTTATTCAAAACTCGCGAAAATTAAAAGATATAAATGAAACCTCAATAGAACGTCCAATAGAGACCAGTGGGATATGTAACTCGGGCGGGCATTATTTATGCACAGACAATAATGTTTCAAGGCCCTCTAACTTTCATTTCCCCTAATCCTTACTGAACGCGAAACAATCAGTCCAATCTATGGCTGTGATATGAACTCAGGGCTTATGTGCCAACGCAAATGTTTGTCTGCATAAAACAATTGTTGTTGTACTTTTGGTTTTATCTGTTTTCGCTCTTCGCAATTCCCGATTGTTGTCACGTAAGAAAAATTGGGTATCGCATTACGTGAGGCAAATTCTTTCTGAGAGCGGCTTCGGCTCAAGGATGAAAAGTGGCTTGCATCGTTGCACTGGTGATCGACACTACCCGTATAACACTTTCATATATTTTGAAAAGTTGTTATATGCAAAAAATAGCAATTTTCAAAACTCGCGTTGCAATAGTGCTTGTGAAAATTGAATCTTTATGTATTGTTATTATTATTACTATTATTATTATTAATTTCGCCAGAGAATAAATTCTAAGACTAAACTCTTAAAAGCACTAGCATCTAAGGCTATCGGCTTTTATTAAAAACTCTACCGCACTTGAGATTCGAATCCACGACCATTGAGATTCCTCGCCTTCGGCTACTCAGGCAGATATATCTCTTTATGTATTAAAAAGTTATTCATGGTGAAAGTCAGTTTATAATAATAAATTGACATAGAAATCAACCTTGCCGAATTTGAAGCACATAAGTGCTTTTCGGATACCAACGTATATAAGAATTCCTCCAAGACGGGGCCTTTCAGCGAAAGAATGTCTTTGCATGAAAATATTGTGTGACTTTTGGTGCATTGTTACTAGAACGAGTCAATAACTGAATTAGACGAAATGATGTAGGGTATTTAATAGTCAGCCTGGCCCGATTATAATGTTCTTACTTGTTTTTTGTTAATGAAAGAGTGGCTGGTTTTTCGTTCGAAAAGTGAACTTTTTTCATTCAAACACTTGCCAGTCACACAGTGGCTCGCCAGAGTGTGTGTAGTGTTGCCACTTTTTAACATTTTTCCGTAAATAATTTTTAATCGCTTCCGTATCAGGGTCTATTGGGAAAAACAGCCACCATAGCCCAAAATTTTTAAACTGCTACAAACATGTTATGTACATTTGACTTCCAGCTGTAGTAACAAACTGCTGTGGCACATGTATGTCACAATCTATGTAACAAACGAATTAAATGTATGCCTAATAACTTGGCCAAATATTTTTATTCAATTGCTTTTTCTTCTATTCAAAAAGAAAATTTTCAAAAAACTTCCGTTCTTTACGTACGAGTGTTACAATAACCTTACCTTTTAAAGCTTTTATAAAAGCCTTAGTACTATCGTCTGATATTTTGTTGTAAGGTTTTCCTTACATTTCACGTTCTCCCCCAGTGCAGCACCTCTGCGACGTAAAACACACGTTCTTTACTTATTTCATAACGAAGCTATGTTTTGACTATTTTCATATAGAACTAGCTTTTCTCCGATTTAATGTTTGCGTCTCCCTTTTTTTGTAGTTGGGAAGTTTTATTTTCGCAATAAACTCTCTCTTCTTATTATTAAATATTTATAATTTTATTTATCTACATCTCGATTCATGAGTGTTTATATTAGTTTGGGGAAAAAGAAATCCATTATTTTTATATGAACTTCAGGACTTTATTTAACATGCTTCGGATTGTCCGATTTGGATCAAATATGCACCGTTTTGTTGTATGATTTGCTGCCATTTTAAAGGTAACTTCAAAATGCCTCTCTCATAGAAGTCCTGGTCTCTATTTGCAAAAAACTCTAGTAGTCGATTTTCACAATCCTCCCTAGATTCCAATTTTTTATCATTAAAGAAATTTTGCAATGCAAGAAAAAGATGATAATCGCTTGGTGCCAAGTCCGGACGGTATGGCGGATGCATTAAAACTTCCCAACCAAGCTCCCGAAGTTTCTGGCAAGTCACTGCAGATGTGTGTGGTCTAGCGTTGTCCTGGTGGAACACGGCACCTCTCCTTTTGGCCAATTCTGGCCGTTTCTGGTCAATCGCTATCATCAAACGGTCCACTTGTTGACAGTAGAGATCAGAATTTAGCGTTTGGCCATATGGAAGCAACTCATAATAAATAATCCCCTTCCAGTCCCACCAAATGCATAGCAAAACCTTCCTGGCCGTTTGAGGTGCTTCACCGCTCTTTTACCACGATCGTTTTCGCACAGGGTTATCGTATGTGATCCATTTCTCATCTCCAGTCACCATCCGTTTAAGAAATGGGTCTATCTCATTCAGTTTGGCCAACGCTTCGCGGATGGAAATTCGATCCATCATGTTTTTTTCTGTTAATTGGTGTGGCACCCAAACATCGAGCTTCTTTTTGAATCCAGCTTTGTGTAAATGGTTCAATGGTTTCACTGTTTTATGGTCGATTTTTAGCTCCTGGGCGATCTTACGACTGCTAACATGCCGGTCAACTTCGATCATTTCTCCGATTTTATCGACATTTTCGACGGCCGGCCTACCTGTGCGAGATGCATCTTTAACATCAAAAATTCCTGAACGGAATCTACGAAACCAAAATTGCACATAATTGGCTGTTACAGTATCGGAACCATAAACACCATTCACAATTTTGGCCGCCTAGCTTGCATTTACGCCTTTGTCAAAGAAAAACTGTACCGAAATGTACCGAATTTTCTCTTTGTTCACTTCCATTTTTGACACGCTGTAACTCACAACTGAATGCACCAAACAAAAAACAGCAAAAGAATTTTTTTTACTGCGAAATGTCACCTTTCCAACGAGCATAAATCTGAAATTGTTTGATCGATACTTTACGAGAAATCTATCAGTGCAGCCATCTACCGAAAAAATAATGGATTTCTTTTTCCCCAAGCTAATATTTTGCTCATTATAATTCACGGATGAGGGTACCAGTATCGATGTCTTTGACCATTTACAGAGCTGAACACATGTGCATGCATATGCACTCGTCGTTACTGCAGTAATATAATAAACAATGCCGTCAGAACACATTGCAAGCATTTCATAATAGTGGCAAAATCATGTGGTACTTGAACTATGAATCGTGCGAATAAGTTTTCCTAATACAAATATCGTTTTGCTAGGTTAGGGTAAATGCCTACAAGTTATCTGTAATAGTAGAAGTAAATACTACTATAGGCATATGTAAGCAGTGCATGCTGGACGTATGGACATAGTGTCCAGCTTTTAAATTTAAAATAGCTCAAGTTAGTATTGAGAACTTACTTGGGGAACAATATGGACAGAAATAAAAGCATTTACTTAAAGTAATCTTAGAGAAGCAGGCGTAGTTAAAATCACGTGTAATTAGTTGTAAATCGTCTCTTCCTCTTTTACTTACTAAAATGTAATTTAGGCCACTTTCAGTGTATTTGAACATAAAATTTGCTAACAGAGTTTTTAACTAAAACTTAAATTATTTGTTTTTGACGGGCGAATGAATTGCAAATTAGATTATTGTAATACAAATGACACATTTAATCGATCATATGATGGTTTATATAAATATTAAAGTTCGAATAAAGCCGGCTAATTGAAAATTAAGTTTAAATTTATCTAACTTTCAGTTAAATTATGTCGAAAGCAGCCCCTTAATAAATCCACACGAAAGGTTTAATTTTGAGCATTTTGATCTTTGATCTCCAAAACATTTTAAATGAATTTATTTATTTATAAAATATTTTATTAGATTATAATTTTGATATTAAGTCATTGAAATAATTTTCATTATTTTCCTCATCTAGTCATTGGGCATTAATCGTTTTCACGTCACCAGTTAAGGCAATGCATTCAATTTCGACCAAAGCATCCATAGGCAACTTAGCTACTTGGAAACAACTGCGAGCCGGGAAATCTTTACAGAACACTAAAAAAATTAAATAATAGAGATAGAATAGTTAAAATTGCTCTCCTCTAATGCAGGAGAGAGTGAAAACAGAGAACGAATCTTTGCATTTCGCTTAATTAATTTGAATTTGTTTAGATCGAATTTTGTGCATACTTCAATGATTCTTCTCGTGTATGTGACGTGTGAGAAAGTAAACAAAAAGAGATTCGATTTGAATGAAATATAAGTGGAAACTTAATTGCCTCTTGAAATTTGTTTTTAAATGCAAAAAAATAATCGCATTATTTTAAATAATATAAACATTGTGAAGGCAAGCTATAATTCTCTTGTAATCAAACAAAGTGAACTTTTACATACCGAAAACATCATATCAGTCTTACAAAAATGATAATTAATAATCGATTGCTAAATGAAAATTGTGTAGGAGAGGAGTTTGCGTGCTTAGGCAGGCGATGGCAAAACAAAAACGTACCTTTTTTGTAAGCCTCATTAACTTCGCCAAAGTCATTGAGATCCTTAAGGAAGACACTATTTTTCACTACCTTGTCAATGCCTGAGCCGGCAGCTATGAGAATTGCTTCTAGATTTTTCAAGGCCATTTCAGTTTGAGCGGCAGCACCACCAGGCACCAATTGCATGGTTGTCTTATCCATACCCAAGCAACCAGAAACGTATACTGTACGATCGGCTACTACAGCTTGACTAGAAATAATATAAAAAAAAAAAAAAAAAAAAAAAAAATAAGAAAAAAAAAAGAAAATGAATACACACAAGCACATTCACACCAGCAACATTGTTTTAGAATGATCATCGAAATGAAAAGAGGAGACAAGATAAAGCAAACAAACAAATGTTTTCTAGCTTACGCCGTCACATCGTTTCAGGGTAATGGTAGAAAATAAATGATTTGCAGGTCTAGGATGACAAGGTAAGTGGTTTGCGTGTATGTGCGCTTGGGAGACCGCAATGCGAATGTGACTATCTGCGAAAGTACTTACTTGTATGGCGCTATTACTCTGGCTGCATTGCCAGTGCTAATCAATTTTCTGATCAAAGTTGCCATTATATTGCTGTAGGTCTCCACCGTTTACTTATTCGTTTCGCGATTATTTGCTTTCGTTTGTATTTCGCTATTACGTAGATACACGCGTTAAAGCTCTGCACTTGTCAATTGCTGCCAGCTAACTGTGTGGTGTTGAGTTTAACTCAGAGGCAAGTTTCTGCTTAAGTTCGTTTTTATAGAAAACAAAAAAATGAAAAATAAATAAAAATAAAAATAACATAAAATAAAAGACAGCAACAACAATAATGTACGGACGATTGCAAATACAAGTGCAGAATTTTTTTATTAATGATTTGTTGCTTATCAGCTGATGTAGCCTCTCATTTGCTAAGACTCTCCCAACTTACTCGGTTATGTTTATTTATTTATTATTGTGCCTTTTTTTTGTTCAGTTTTACCATTGTTTCCATACGTTTGTGTGTGTGTGTGCGTGTGTGTACATGTGTTCGTATTGCTGCTTGCTGCTGCTGCTGCTGCTGCTGCTGCTGATATGTTTACCACACACACACACTCCCAAGAAAATATTTTTTGTGCTTAAGTGGCTTTTGAATTTTATCACCTAAGGGGGTCATTTTTCGTTCTCTCTAAAGGTTTTGTTATTTTGTTATTCCGATTATCAATAATACCTTTCAATTTGAGAAATGTTCGTGCATGTTCACTTGTCTTTTTGAAAAGAATAGACGCGTAGCTTACGGAAGAACGGGGCACTGACACTGGCACATTTATCAACAGCATTACGACAACATATGATATAAAGATTAAAGTTTGATTTTTCGTAATAATATTTTTCTACAAAATGGCTTTAGAAAAGTCCTTTAAACACCAGTTAATATCAGCCATATTTTAGTCTATGGGATAATAGGCCAAACTATTAAACAAAAAAATGGGGAAACGCTTTAACCGGTTTTTTGTTTTCCGTAGAAGCTTCATTTCTTCACATTGCACGAGAGACAAACCTTAATTAATTGTTTTTTTTTTTTTTTTTTTGCTAAGATCTCTTTGATTAGGTTTCATTATCTAAGATGTCAGTATTTTCATAATCATCTTTAAGGCAGACGGGGGATTCTTATTTCCTTTGAAAAATATTTTGAATTAATTTGATATATGTTTCTATTACACACCATCTTTTATTTGTCATCTGCTGCCCAAGAGCAAAGAATGAATTTAGTAAACTGAAAGGTAAGAAATGTCCAGGAAGGCAATTCGGTAAATACAGGCCGAATTGTTACTGAACGTTTGCAACGCCCAAAAAGAATTTTCGCAAATGGCGTATAGTGCATATATTTTTGATTACCATGTATACATTTTGATAGGCATGTTCGTCTATCCGTCTATGTTAACATTCTCATAGCTGCAAAAATGAGATTATTGCCTCCAAATTTGCAGAAACATTAGAAGCTTTTGCACGAATTGGTTTTCAAAAGAGGAAAAAAGGGGAAAATTCTTGCCATTCCACACAAATCGTTACACCTACCCAAGATTATAGTGCATTAAATTTTTGATTTTTTGTCGGAACTTTTATAGCGCGCAGAAGCAAGCTTCAAAAACCCCAAAAAGTAAATATTAGATTTTCCGGAAAACAATTTCCTTTTCTTTTTTGAACATGAAAATGAAAGATGATTTTCTTATAGTGCATAAATATTTTATGATGAACTGTCGATTTTAATAAATTTAATCTATTAGTGATGTCACGGGTTGTTATTTTCCGGTTTGCATCAATTGATGTCTCTATTGTGTATTCATCAACTTCAACTGACCTTCCAGAGTTTGATGCATCTTCAACATCAAAATTGCCGGATCGAAATTTGGCAAATTAGTTTTGGTACATCTCTATACACATCGGATAATCTTCTTTTGTGCTTTAACAGCATTCTTACCTTTTCGATAGTAAAAAAGTAAAATGCGCTAAAATGCTTCTTTTCACTTTCGATGTTTGAAAGCGCGCGAACCGAAAGCTCTCCGTATCGATCTTCTAAAAATTGAACTTTTTCAAAAACAAGCTCTGTTATATCAGCTGCTAAAATATATAATAACTATGCGACTTAAGTGTGAAGTTGGCAGTGAAAGAATACAGTCAAGTCCTCTATTGGGAAAAATCGAAATGACTTCCGGAACCTACTTACGCATATCTGTTTGTTCCTCTTTCCATATGTTTATCGCCTAATTGTGCAGTATCCGTGATAAATATTCTCCCGTTTGAAAAAATGAGAATATCGCTTACAAGTTTGCAAAAGAATTTGAAAAAGGATAAACCGATGAAATAATGCGCTTATAATGGAACAGAAACTGAGATCAATTTTATTTACTTGCTAATCAAAATCTACGCAAAACTCACTATAAAAATTTGCAGAATAGAAAAAACTAGGCACGCCCCCATAATATTTTGAAATATAAAAAATCGTTTTTTCCTTTCTTTTTCGTCTTTTTTAGGATAATGGTATAAAAGATTCGGTCACGCTCGAATATAATATTCTTACTTGTTGTATTTAGGCATCAGGTGTTAATAAGCTACAAAGGATGCTTCGACACAGCTACCGATTTCAAGATTGAATATATCAGTTACAGTTATGCAGCTCTGTCTATTTATGCTTGAATAAACATCTAGACATACACGCATCCGGAGTGTGTATATACCAGTAAAAGAAGAGGAAAAAGCGAGGTAGACAGGATTAACGATTGGCCGCTTATCTCTGAAGAAGATTTTCAAAATGACAAAAGTGTACAACTTTGAAATCGAATGTGATCCACCCATTATAATAAAAAATAATGCAAAAAGTAGTCCCGATGGAATCACCGACAGGACAATATTTTTGCGGCCTCGAGAAATATGAGAATAGCTTCGAAATTCTTATTTAATAATTAATTAATAGGGTAAAAGATCGCCTAGTCGAAAAAAAGCCCTCAACAATTATTGCGTATTATTATTTCACATAAGTAAGAAGCAGTTGTTTTCAGCATTCCTGATAAATTGTATTCTTCTTTACTCACACAAATTGTAAATGAATTTAATCGTATTCTACGTTTTTGCTTACTTTCAGAGATAAGTAGACTGCCCGGTCAGTGTTCGCAGGTTCAAATCTTACTGCAGTGAAGTTTACTTTCGTCGTAGCTACAGTGACTGCTTGGTCGGTAAAATCATAGCACTTATCGTTGGGCACGCATCGACTAGAGTGCGGCCGCTACCTTCATACTTTCTTTCTTTCTTTCTCTTTGCTCACTTCTCTCTGACCGCCATCGCTTTATTCGAATAGTAGGGGACCTTCCCTCCTGAGTGATTGATCATATCAAAAAAAAAAAGTAGATTTTTCTTGCATTAAATTTGTTGCTAAAAGCTAAAGAATTCTCCACATTATCGCAATGTTTTTTTGTGTATATTCTCAAGCACGCCATTATAATTTTATTCGCTTAGCAATAACAAAAATTATCGTCTGCGAGTAGGTAAATACAGAGAAGGTTTTTGCTAAATATAAGATTTAAATATTCCGGCGAAGAACTTATGTGCTTGGTTTAGTTCACTAAAGTAGCAGGTACGCCTGAATATGCAATTAAGAATTTCGATACTGTATTGTGTGACTATAAACTGTCTCAAGAACAATAATGGCCGATAGGTTGAGCGATTTTCTTCGCTGCCGATTCGTAAGGAAAACAAAACGCTACATTAATGAATTTATTACGAAAAGTTAGTAAGATTTTTGCCATTTATCTTGAAGTTTATTATATCATTGGACATGGAGATATAATTTGCCGATATTTCAATAGTTTGGTTCCAGGTCCTTTTTTCCGTATATTTTTGCCGCTATATTATAAATCACACAATAAGTTCGTGGGATGGCATAAAGATATAGGATGACTTAGGATATAGCATTAGTTCGGATGTTATATCCTATGTCCAAAATTCAGATGTGTCCATTGTTTTGCAAAAACAAAAATAGGAACTTATTGAGTCATAGATAAAGCTACAAGCATGTGCACGGTTGAGCAAATAAAAACCAGTAGCTAGCCACAGTGCAATATTTGAATAAAAAAGTTCAATTTTTGAACGAAAAAGGGCCCCTTTCTTACTAATAAAAAATGTTTACATTAACTGTAAATATCCTAGAGAATGTTACTTTAAAGGTATTGTAAAAAACTCTAAATAAAACAAGTCCAAATATTATAGTGGGTCACGGATGCACTTAAATACCCTACGCCACGCTACGTTTATTCATATAACGTCTTTTTGAAATAAGACGGAAATATTCGAAAAAGTGGACCGATTCAATTCAATTTCACTATTGTTGAAATCAGAAAACGATCAGCGTAATGAAAGGCGTTGCATACATCTGCATAAACTTAATATACCTCCTTGCACCACAAGTGATGTAGAGTTTAATGATATTTCAACAAGTGGCAATAGCATTGAATGGTGTCTTTGACTCGCAAATGCGTGCGGTCTAATGTTAAAAATAAAGAAAAGCAATCAAGGCAACATCCCGTGAATAAAACGAACACTGTTTCACATATAAGGGAAAAGTCAAAAAAACTTGCTAATCGCCGAAGTAAGTAATCGAACGTTCAGATTCATCTCCGTTATGGAAATAGCTGGGATCAATCAAAACAGTGCTACGTTAAAATTTCACGGTATCAAAGGCTCTAAGGCATTTAGGCACTAGGTCCCGTATATAATAATACAACATCTTTTAGAAAATCTCTTGTTGTTTTTGATATCTTCTTTAATGATGGCGACGAATTATAACATCACATCATGGACGCTATGCCTATTAAAAAGCTGCCAGTTCTACTTCAACTGTTATGTGATAATAAATACACCGTGTAAAGTTCTTTTGGTGGCGCTTCTCCATATATCACATCTAATAGCCCCCATGCACATTTAAAGGGGAAAAACCTTTGGATTCAGACTTTTCAGCATACCTACCTAGAACTAGTCTGACCAAAGGAGAGAAAAGATATCTAGAAAAAATAAATCTTAAGGAAAAGTGTGAACTAGAATACGAATTCCAAAAAATGCCAGAAGAAAATTTCCTGAAGTGTGTTCAAGCAGCGTAGGGCAATTGCGTGAAGGGGAGAAAAACCTCCATTTTGGCAGACATTTTCTTAGGGTGATATCGTTTCTAGTACTTCAAAAAAAACAAAAGAAACTGTCGTCATAATGTCATTAAAGACTTAAAGT